TGTAGATGTGACCGTGAGCCATTTGGGACCTTGGGGACAAGGTCACAAGGAGTTGGCAAAACAATGGGATGGAAAGAGCCTTCGTCTCTGGCACATGGAAGCCACCAGAGGAGCCCTAATAATATCCAAAGGGTCCCAGGAGGGAAAGGCAAGGCATATCCTGTTAAAATTACTATTACGTTGAGTTTGAGGACTGCTAGACTTGTATCCTCACTACCCAATCTGGGCAGTCACGTAGAAATCCCCCAAAACATGTGACTATTCCTTATCAAATACCTTTCACTCTGCATTGATGAAACCACATTGAAAGGCTCTGAACTTGTCTCTTACCCTGAGTTTGGACCTCAATGTTATGTACTTACATGCTACTATTTTCTCCTTTTGCTGAAAACCTAGATCATTTGGCTTCATAAATGAAGCAAAGGTTGTCCTACCCACTAGTCCAATGAGCACAGCTGAGAGGAGTCAGGAAGTAGTAGGAACTGAACTAGAAGCCAGGAGATCCAGGTTCTGCTGGGCGGCAATGGGAATGCCATTTATCCTCTCTGGGGAAATGGTTCAACATCAAAATTGTTCAATTCTTCTTATGTAAGCTTCATTGATAAATGGTAAACAACTTCACAGTAACTCTACAAGTCAAGGTTTTCTTAGAGGCTGTTGGGAATACCTAGCATCACTCAATGGAAGACACCAGAGAAGTAGAAAAGTGACATCTTCCTGGAGTCCTTTCTCCAGCAGCTCTGAGGAAGCCTATGCAGAGCAGAGAGGGAAGGACTTGTAGGGATTTCTGTTTTCTCAAGTGCCTACAGGAAATCAGAGAGCATTTTCCAGGGCTTTGCTGCAAGGGAAGTATTAGATTTAAGGGCTGGAAAAATTTCCCTCTGTCCTGAGAATTGCAGGAAGTTAGCATCCCTGGTGCTTGTCCACTAAAATGCCCACACATATTCCATACCAACCCCCCCCACACACACACATTTGCAAAATATCTCCAGTCAGGACCCATTGCTAATCCATCCTGCCATTTTATAGTCTCAAAAAGAGATTCAGAGGAGCTCAGTGACCTTGGACAAGGTCACTCTTGCTCTAACGACAAAACAGGGACTAGATGCAATGTCTTCAGATTCCTGGATAAGTTTTTTCTCTCTAACCTTGGATAGACCCAAACAGAATCACTTTTCTGGGTCAACAAGACCAACAGGTAACAGAGCAGATGGATGGTGCCTCTACCTTGGGTGAACTAGACAATCTACTTAGATGCCAGGAGAAAACAGAAGAACTTTCTATTTCTATTCTATCTCTTCCTTTAAAAAATTCTGTGGGTTTTAAAAATGTACATAATATATTAGTACAGTGGTATATGTATAATTTATAAATACATAAATATACATACATTGATGCATGTTCAAATATTTTTTTAACTGATGGTATACATGATCAAAAAATGTGGAAACCACCAGTCTCAACATCCTTTTCTGTTTCTAACTCTAAAATACTATGAAATGATCCTGATTTGTTTTACTATTTTGTTTTCCAGAATGACATCTATAGGCTATTCTTCTAAGACAAAAGATACAGTGGGGTGTGAAATACTAATCAAATTGGAAGCCTTTAGAAGGCAGATTATCCAACAATGCATCAGAATTAAAAACCAAGTTATTTTGCTCAATTTATCATTTTAATCAGATCAACCATTTGTCAATCCAATCCCCTATTTGGCATTTAATCTGGAAAAATCAAATCAACCATTTTTAGATGCTCGGTCCTGCCTTATGGAAAAGACAATCTGGATTTGTCAGAGTAAAGAAAGGAGAGGTTAAGGGAAGGAAGGGTGCCTCCAGGGTGCGGATCACTAGTTTTAACATTTTCTCTCTTTTTCAATCAGTTTCACCTAGGCTCGAAACAAAGCTTAAATTACTTCAACCTTTAAAGATGCTTCTCTTAACCTTAGTCTGCCATGTGAGGTGAAGCAGCACACACAAGGATAAAAGCAGTTCCTCTCTAAAAGATTAAAAATCCACCTAGTGTACTCAGAAGTTCCTGCTTGCCCAAGAGGTGCACTCTCCACTGCATTAATCAGTGCGAGGGGGTTGCAGCAAAATTCAACATTTTAATGATATTCCCACCAAATCTGCACTGGGGTAGGATTTCCTAAAACATACTTACAAAAATTGCCTGTTGATCAGGTTGTACCTGGAGAACAACAAAAAAGAGCGGGGGGTGGGGGGAAGAGTGAGAAAACATTCGTAGGACTGAAATGAACCCACAGCACCTGCCCCTTCTCTCTAGCTATAGCCAGGGTAGCAAACACGCATCTTTGCAATGTGAATTTTACCAAGCACTTACCTAGTTCTTATTCTATGCCTGGTACCATTCTGAGGGATTTTCATCCATCACCTCTTTTAATACAACATCTGTATTCTAAGGATGGTAGGATATAGTACAGAGGTTCCCGAACCTTCTGTGTTCATGGCACACTTAGTTTCTAACATAACATTTTTATAGCATCTCTAGACCAAAAGAAATGCCCCTAACAATTCCATTTGTTAAGTAGTTATAGCCAAACAACTTGTTAGTACAGTAGTTCACACAGACGTTGCTGTTTTCCTTGAAAATTTTAAATATTGCAATGACCTTGTGAGCTTGCTACAGAGCCCCAGGGCTCCCTGAAGCACAGCTTGGGAACCACAGATCCACCACCTGTGGCACAGATACTATCAGAGTCCCTATTTTGTTGATGGGAAATGGGCCCAGAAAGGTTACCCAGCTGGTTGGATGTAATATGGGAATCTAAAAGCACACAGAAACCCAGAGCCACTCTGCTGTCAAGCTGTCCTCTCTCCCTGACTTACTGTACTACATCCAGTTACCACCTCCTCTCTCCATGCTGTATACACTGCAACTCCCCCCACCCCAACCAAACACACATGCAGACAGGCATATGCACACCCGCACACTCATTCCTGGGCTTCAAACCATTCCCTCCCATTGGGATGCCCCTTCCTCATACCTGCTTTTCTAGAAAGTTCCTTGCTTCTATTTCCAGCCCTAAGTTAACTCTGGACTTCTTGGTCCTACACTCATCTTTTCTTCTTCAGGAAGGAAAAGACTGTAAGTGCCATGTTAGTGACAGTTGATATGTCTTAACGTTGTTCTCTAATTGCATTATTGGTATGAATGTGGTTTTTCCAATAAGACTAAATGTTTGCCCCAAAATAGGGATGGTGAATTATCTCATGCTAGACATGTAGAAACCACTGTGCCAGTTTGTTGAAATCAGCAAGATGATAAATGCTAGAATTTCACAGCATATGCTAATGACTGGATGTAAATAACAGAGAATATATTTAACATAAATGTCATCAGGAATGGTAACTAACATCTGTAAGGCCTTTTTACACTTTAGGAAAGACTTTTTGCATACATGATTTTATTTGTTTTTTTTTGCAACAGTCTGTATTATCTCCTTTCATGGGAGAAAGTGGAAGCTTAGGCAGGTTAAGTGGCTTTGGCCAAACTTGCAACATGTAAGTAGAAAAAGCAGATCTGGAAACCCACTGTATCGATCTCCTTCCTGGCCCTATTTTCTCACTTCCCTGCAGTCTCCTTCACAGAGATATCAATTTTCAGCCCAGATCCCATATGATAGACAGGCTTTCAATTTCAGAAGTACTGTCCCAGTCCCTAGCCCTAAACTCTCAATACCTCCACTGAGATGCCGTGACCCTGCAGGACAGAAGGCTGGGCTGGCTATGGGCACTTCCAGGGAAAATGCTGACCCTTTGGTTGAGGTTAGTGGGTCTGTGGAAAGTTCCAGAGCTGTCAAGAGGACAAGGAACCTCAAGTTTGTGGTTTCCTAGACAACCCAATCTCCCCTGTTATGGTAGTGTGGACCACAAAGGCTGGGGCTGTCAGCTTCTGAGGCTAACAAGGACTGCTTAACAAAAGTCTAGATCAAGATTAAAAGCATGCCATGAAAATACAAGCAAGCTGGAAGTGTGCATTCATTCTTTATGGGTCACTAGCTAGTTCTGGAGTTCAGAAATATCAGCCTTGGGTTTACAGTAGATGCTATTTCTTACACTAATATATGACTTGAGGACATTGTTTTCACCTCTCTGAGTCTCAGCATTCCTGTTAGTAAGATGAGATCATAGGATAGACATGAAGATTAAATGGAAAAACAAATGTAAAGCATGAGGGGACAGAGCCTGGTGGGTGACAGACACTAAATAAGTAATAGCCACTTATCAAAGATGACAAATAGTTTTCAAACTGGGCTGCACCTAGCAGGCACTTATTAAATAGGCCAAACACTGCCTCCGCTGCCTCCACCACCATTAGGCGTTAGGGGCACTGCTGAAACTCCTTGTAGAGACCCTCAAAGACTCCAGCTGAGAGGTTATAGTAGCAGAATAAGGAAGGAAGAGAGTGAAAGAAAAGAAACCAGAAGATGCCTAAGGCAAGACGTTACCCAGAGGGACCTTAAAGGGAAACAAAAGGAACAGAGGAAGAGCTGACAATTGGTGCTGAGCTTGACAAGGAAAATAAACAACTTAGACCATTTGAATATACATTTCAAATTACATCATTTTCTTCTGCATTGTGTCTCCAGGCAGTTGGGAAGATACAAACGTGTTATATTTATTTCTAAGGCTTTATTGAAATTGCAACAAAATAAAAATCAAAATTGAACTTTATGAAGAAAACAAGGGGGAAAAAATAGCCATAAGGTCACTGTTTCCTCTAATGACAAAATGGGGTTGAGTCCTGCATTTGCACCAGGATTCTTTTATCAAATGCCTGCCTTTCTGGAAAGATAGATGGCAGTTTTCAGAAGCAATATACACAAAGACGTTTGGAAATTCTAAAGGACTGTGCAGACATTCGTTATGATTATTACATGGATGGCAGCTCACGTACTAACTTGGAAATCTTTCTGAATCTTCCCTCAGTAACAAGGCCCAGGTGTTCTGAGGGGCTGCCAGCATGGACATACTCACAGCAACTGGGGTATCCTGGCTGAGAGGCACACTGTGCGACCGCTCCTGCAGGGACTTATCTGCATCGACCTCAGAGTAAAAGACCTTGAAAAGACACAGACACCTGGTAAGAACAGAGTCTCTACTTCTCCAAGATCAAAGGTTTGAATTGCTCACAAAGAAAGCAGGTTCTGAGGTGCATCAGGCCACCCCACTAGTTCCTAGTTCTGTGGGAATGAACATCAGACCTACCTGGTGTGGTTACAAATTCAGAAGCCTGCAAAGGCCTGGAGGAAGACAACGTATCTGTGTAGGGGGGTGGGGGCTGGACCCCACTCTTCTCCTATTTCCCCAAACCATGACCCTATCAGGTAATCTTGCATCTTCCCATATTTGATATGCCATGGGTTCAGAAACATGTTTCTCTAAGAAGACCAGAGGACGAGGCCATGATGAATACTTGCTGATGGTGAACTGGAATCTGTAGGGACTGGTCAGACTTGAGGACTTTCATCCCATCTCAAATGGGTCCTTCATCTCCAGTGGGCTTGGTGTCCCATAGGAATATGGGATCAGTGTGTCCAACTGTCTGGATGTCTCAGATATTTCAGAACTCCAAATATTTATCTGAAATAGCCTGACTTCTAAAATTTGGTTTATTTTTAATAACACTACTTAACAAAAACATTTTGGAGAACCAAAATCTGCCCAATTTTCAGCCTCTAATTGTAGGGTACCTTCTATGCTCCCTCCTCCACTTTGCCTGTCCATATCTTTAATTCAGTTCATACATTTGTTTGTAATTACTGATAACATTCCACAGTGGCTCCCTATGATTTCTCAGGTTTCTGTATCATTCTCCCAACGATATTAAGCAATTGGATAGCAGAAACCATATCTTCTACTTGCTTTATATTTTTCCATTGCTGCACAGAGGAAGAACTGGATAGATCCTGATTAATGCAGAGGTCATTCTCAGGGGGTCTTAGAAATGCCCTTGAAATATTTCTTATAGTTTCACCAGAAGAGAATGAGGCAGTTGTTAATATGAGAGGACTGGTAGTAAGGAGGCCATAGACAGGTTGAGCACCCTTAATCCACAAATCTGAAATCTGAAATGCTTCAAAATCTGAAACTTTTTGTGCCTGATGTGACATCAAAAGTAGATAATTTCACATTTTACTTCATGTGATGGATCACAGTCAAAATGCAAGTCCACTAAAAATATTACCTTCAGACTATGTGCATAAGGTGTAGGTAAAACAAATGAATTGTGTATTCAGACTTGAGTCCCATCCCCATAACATCTTATTATGTATATGTAAATATTCCAAAATATGAAAAGAGTCAGAAATCCAAAACACTTCTGATCCCAAGCATTTTGAATAAGGCATACTCAACCTATTCAGGAGGTACAAAGATAGGGAGCATGTATAATCACCCCAACACGCCTACTGCAGAAATCCCCACATGTACTCACGGTGTATCCAGTGACTGGGCTTCCAGGATGCCGTGGCGTTTTCCACTGGATGCTGAAAGCTGTGCAGTTCAGGGCACCCAGCTTGATGTCAAGAGGAGGCCCCACCTTGCCTGCCCCCAAACAAAGAAATTATGTTAAAAGATCAATGCATCTTACCATCAGCGTATTTACACAAGATTTAAGAGTGTGTACTCACAAAAGAAGAACATGCTTAAAGACGGCTCCACAGGCCAGAAATGTAGTCATCCCTCTGATGTGCCACCCCTGTCTCAGTTGACCTCACCAAATTTTTGCCATCCTCTCCCAACCTGTCACTGGTAGAGAAACCAGCCCCACTATTGACCTTGGTTCATTCCATAAGTTCTAATAGTAACGGGCCGGAAACCAAGATTTTGTTTGTTGTAGACCAGACAAACATGACTTGACTCTAGGCATTTGAAATGGATTCAAGAAAGACAATGATTTTTAATTTACCCATTATACATTATAATATATAATATATATAATAATTATTATATATAATTATAATTGAACTAATGAAGAACCAAAAATATCACTGAAGATTAAATTCCTGAGTAGTGAAAGTTGTAGGTGTGGGGGGCAGGAGAGAGCTGTTTCTGGTTCTGCATTAGTCTGCTTATATAGCTAGTATTTTATTATAATGAAACATTTTTAAAATATGGTTAAGTATAAAATAAGATTTACATTTTTTTCAAACATTTTACTGTCTACTTGTCTTAAACCATTTTATAATTATAAACTCTAAAGCAACATGCAAATTGTCATAATTTAGAAAATGAAAAAGATCATATCATTCTGAGACGAGTTCTATTGGCATTTTGGTATGTCTTCTTTGGATTATATACAACATTTTAAAAAGTTGTTTGATTCTCTGTGTGTTTTTTATTGCTTTGAATTGTTGTAACTATAATGTAGTAATTATGTGCATATACATATATGCTCGTAGTTTTAAATTTTATTTCACTTAATTTACAGTCATTAAAATCATTATGTTTAATGGCCATAAATGCTTCCCTGCAATGCATGTGCCATAATTAAGAGAACTTGGCATTCTGCTGTTGTCAAACAATATATCTCTCATGTTTTGCCATTTAAAATAATGTCCACGAGGGCAGGAACCAGGTCAGCCTTGATCATTATACAGAGACTAGTAAGCAATAGGGCTCAATGAACATTCCCTAAATGAGTGAATGTTCTGCACTGCGATTTTCCACTTACTAATGTCTTGATGTGCTTTCTTTTTATTGACAACATACAATTCTCCTGCATATCAATGAGGATACTTTGCAATTCATAGAGATCCAATACATCTATTTATTGCACTAGGGCCAATTTGTTACCAGGGATGCTCACCAATGTTTTTTCTTTATTACACTGGAGTGTTTTTATTACTCAAATTTATTTTAATGATTCAATAAAGCAGAGGAAATTTCTCAATTAACCCCACATATTATGTGGTATTAACATGATATTGCATACATTTTATAAAAGTCTCCAGATATACCTCAGATTTTTCTTATTATTTACTGAGTAACTAAGTAATCGGTTGTCTCACCAACGTTTTTAATACATCAAACCCAAAGTCCTCTGGTAGACCAAGTAATAGAGGCTCAATTCTGTCACTTAGTAGAAACTGTGAGACTAGGAGACAGCTCTCTCCTGGCCCCCCACACCTACAACTTTCACTACTTCAGTGATCTTTCTGGTTCTGCATTCGTTCAAGATTTAAAGTCCCATCAGATTGGCTAAACTCAGGCTATGTGCTTCCTCTTGGCTCAACCAAGGGTCTGGAGAGGAAGGATCAGTCCTTTCTGGTTTTCTAACTAGAAAATGACCTCCTAGGGGAATCCTGGGCGATGCTCTTATACTACCCTATCCACAGAAAAGACGACACCCAAAAGGAAGAGAAGATCATAGGAAAAGAGTCATGGAAGGTCTTATGTCCCCAAATTCTCTTATATAGAGCATGCATGTACATTTAGAATATTGGCATATTCCTTTTTGCACACATGTTCAAATATTTCTAAGATAAATACCTATGAAAACATAATGAGATACATATATCTCAATTTTTACTAACCACTGATATTGCTCTCCCAAAAAGATTAAATAAATTTTTAAGTATGTTCTGTCATTCAACTGGGGTAAATTCTTAAAGCAAAATTGCTATGTCTAAGACAGTTTCTTAACCTTGGCACTACTGACATCTTTTAAGTATACTCAAAGGACTTTTAAAACAGCATACTACAGGGAAACATTTTAATGTTTATAGCAGCACAATTCACAACTAGCTAAACTGTGGAACCAATCTAGATGCCCTTCAGTAGATGAATGGATAAAAAAAATGTGGCATATATACACAATGGAATATTACTCAGAAATAAAAGAGAATAAAATCATAGCATTGCAGGTAAATGGATGGCGTTGAAGAAGAAAATGATAAGTGAAGTAAGCCAATTCCCCCAACCCTCGAAAAAATGCCAAATGTTTTCTCTGATATAAGGAGGCTGATTCATAGTGGAGTAGGGAGGGGAAGCATGGGAGGAATAGAGGAACTCTAGATAGGACAGAGGGGTGGAAGGGGAAGGGAGGGGGCAGGGAGTTAGAAATGATGGTGGAATGTGATGGACATCATTATCCAAAGTACAGGTATGAAGACACAAATTGGTGTGAATATACTTTATGTACAACCAGAGATATGAAAAATTCTGCTGTATATGTGTAATAAGAATTGTAATGCATTTTACTGTCATTTATTTTTTAAAAAAATCAATTAAAATATTTTTAGTTATAGATGGACAAAATAACTTTATTATCTATCTATTTTTATGTGGTGCTGAGGATTGAACCCAGTGCCTCACACGTGCTAGGCAAGTGCTCTACCACTAAGCCACAACCCCAGCCCCACTATTGACAGTTGGATGGTTTATGTAGGGTTTGTATGATTGCATCAAAGGGTGTTTGACAGCATCCCTGGTCTCTCCCCAACCCAGCTGTGAAAACCATGGTATCCCAACATTGTCAAATGACCCTGGGGCACAAAACTGACCTCCCCCACCTATTGACAACTGCTGATTTAAGAGAATGAATATATTAGAGAATTTTAATAAATATAATCAAACTTACATCTAGAAAATGAACTAATTTGGAAGCTTATGTTATTGTATGGGGAAACCTCATATAAATAATACAGGTAATAAAGTGAGCAACCCCCTAAAAATTTTCAGCTCTGCAAAACACACTGTCAAGAGAATAAAATGACAAGCCACATATTGGAAAGAATATTCACAAAAGACTTATCTAATAAAGAATTGTTAGTAAAATATACAAATGCTGTAGGCTGCATATTTGTGTCCTCCCAAAATTCTTATGTTGAACATAATCCCCATTGTGATATCACTGGGAGATGGGCCTTTTCAGGGGGATTAGGTCATAAGGAGAAGCCCTTGTGAATGGGATTAATGTGCTTATAAAAGAGTCCTCACACTGTGTCCCTTCCTCTTTTCCTATGAAAACCCAGAAAACGGACCAGGGAGCAGGTCTTTACCAGATAGTGACTCTGTCAGTCCCTTGTTCTTGTACTTTGCATATTCCAGAACTATAAGAGACAAATTTCTGTTGTTTGTAAGCCACCCAGTTCATGCTATTTTGTTATAGCAACTGAACAAACTAAGACAGCAAAGAACTCTTACAACTCAACAACAAGAAAACAACCCAATTAAAAACTGGATCAAAAAATCTTATCAAAGAAGATCTGCAGATGGCAAATAAGCATATCAAATAATCAAATGTCATCCTGGAAATGTAAGTAAAAACAATGAGATATCACTGAGTATTTATTCAAATGGTCAAAATCCAGAACACTGACAACACCAAATACTGGCAAGTAGGTGAAGTTACAGGAACTCTCATTCGATACTGGTGGGAATGCTAAATGGCACCATCAGTTTGCAAGACAATTTGTTTTTTTTTTTTTAATAAAACGAATCATATTCTTGTATTATCCAGCATTGGCACTCCTTGGTACATAAAGAAGTCAAAAACTTATCTTTACACAAAACTCTGCAAAATGGACGTTTATTGTGGTTCTATTCATATATGTTAACACTTGAAAGTAACCAAGATATCCTTCAGTAACCAAAATTCACCTTTAGTAGGTGAGTGGATAAATAAACTACGGTACATGCAGACGATGGACTATTATTCAGCACTTAAAAGAAATTAAGCCATGAAAAGACATGGAGAAGACTTAAATGCATATTACTAACTGAAAGAAATCAATCTGGAAAGGCTACATATTGTGTGATTCTAACTATATGACGTTCTGGAAAAGGCAAAACAATAAAGACAGTAAGAAGATCAGAGGTTTCAACAGATTAGGGATTGAAGAGAAGGAAGGATAAAAAGTGAAGCTCAGAGGAATTTTATGGAAATAAAATTATTTTACTCTAATGATAGATAAAGTTCTGTTTATTCGGTCCACCCATAGTGTATACAACACCAAATATGAAATCTCTAACTACTGACGTTAGGCGAAGTTCATAATTAAATTATAACAAAAGTGCCACTCTGGTGGGGGATGTTCATAATGGGGACATCTGTGCATGTGTGGAGGTAGGAGTATATGGAAAATCTCTCAATTTTGCTATGAAACTAAAAGTGCTCTAAAATAGGAGGTCTTACAAAACTTGGAAAATCTGATTTTGAAAGTTGAATATTTTAATATGAATTTGGCTTCTTTTCTTCCTCTGTTCATGTGTTTTGCACTTTTTAATTGGGTTGTTCATTTTTTCTCGTTGGTTTATAGGAACCCTTTCCACGTTGAAGATCTGAAACTTTCTCCTCGTTTTTTTTTTTTTTTTTCCAGATAGCTTTATGCTTCCATCTGACTGCATAACTACCCACTGCTGGTCAGCTTTGTTATTGAGTTAAGAGCTCTGTGCTAATGGAACCACAAAGATGGCTGAAAAGTGGGAAGAAAGACAGTGGAAATAAACTATCAGTCCCTCACAGAAGCATAAAATAACTAGCAAGCACAGCCATATCCCTATTCCTAGGAACAGCACTTGCTCCCCTTGCTCTGGGAACA